GTATCTTCACAACTCCCTCTTTTTTTTTTTTTTTTTTTTTTTTTGGTTTTTCGAGACAGGGTTTCTCTGTGTAGCTTTGCGCCTTTCCTGGAACTCACTTGGTAGTCCAGGCTGGCCTCGAACTCACAGAGATCCGCCTGGCTCTGCCTCCCGAGTGCTGGGATTAAAGGCGTGCGCCACCACCGCCCGGCAGCTCCCTCTTTTTTTAATGTGAGTGCTTTGCCTGCTTGTGTGAATGTGTACCATGTGCATCCCTCGTTCCTGTGGAGGTCAGAAGATGGCAATGGATCCTCTGGAACTGGAGTTAAGGATGGTTATGAGCTACCATATGGGTGCTGGGAAATGAGCCCAGTTCTTCTGCAAGAACAGTAAGTACTCTTACCACTGAACCATCTCTCTAGCCCCCATAGCTCTCTCCTTAACGTTTCCTTTCCATGCACTCTCAGAGAAATGTGGTGACGGTGATCCACTGCCCCTCTTTTTCTGGAAGTAATCGCATTTTGGGCTGCTGTGAATCCTGTCCTGACAGCACATGCCGTGCATTCTTTGGAGCTTTCAGGATGATGCAGGTAGTCTGCAGCTCACGGCTGTAAGCAGAGAAGGAACTACTTTCTGGCAGCGATGGGAGTGTGTGTGTGTGTGTGTGTGTGTGTGTGTGTGAGAGAGAGAGTAGTGGTGGGGGCACAGGAAGGGAGCCAGCTCCTGCTCTGCTGCTCACCTGCTAGTGGCTCTTCTGGGAACCTATGGCTGCCAGTGACATTGAGGCTGTCTTCAATCTCGATTGCTGGTTTTGGATCCCGCTTTCATACAGTGGGGATTCTTGCAGTGCTACGTTGGTTTTGTTTCTTCTCATATCCTGGGTCTAAGCAAAGGCCTGGCACTTAACCACCACCCTTTAGAAGTGTTTATTGAGGAGCTAGAGCAATGGCTCAGCAGTTAGGAGCATTGGCTGCTCTTCCAGAGGACCCAGGTTTGGTTCCTAGTGCCCACATGGCAGCTCACAACCATCTGGAGATGGACACCCACTTCTGACCCTCACAGGTTCTTCATAGGGCACAGACATACATGTACACCTAAAATTTTAAAATAGAAAAACAAAACCAACACCTTATGCTACGTAACCCCACCTGGCCCTGGCCCTGCTGCCTCAGCTTTTTTGTTCCTCTTCATACCACTTGCTCAACTGTTTGCTGGCCTTTTCTACCCCAAGATGCTCCTGAGACTTCAGGCTGGGCCAATAGCCCTGGCTCTCTGGGGACATTCCAGCAAGGTGATACAGGACACAGGCATAGCTGCAAAACACTTCTGTGTCCCATATGAGTTGTGGTTTGTAGTCAGTATAATATTGTCCAGTTGATTATGTCCAGGCCAATTTTGGCCATAAGGATTTGCTTTTGCTATCCTGTCAATGGAAAGCCTAGATGGCCCTTCCTTGATCACTCGATGGTCAAGATCGAGGACCATTCCGCTTCTTGTATACTGGGCCTCACTGAGATCATTTTTATGAAGAAAGGTTTATACTGAAAGTGGGGCCCAAGCCTCCCAAGGTCTTGTGCAAGGCTCTAAGTGTAGCCAGGTCCTGTTAGAGCTTTGGGTTGGAAAACCAGAAACCAGCCCTGCAGTACTCCTGGCTAGAGCAGGAGGGACAGCCTCCTGAGTTCACTCTGGACCTGTTGACTGAGTTGTGACAGCTAGCAGTCTGAGCTGATGCTCTGTGACTTTGAATCTTTTCCAGCTCAGAGTCATGGAAACCTGGCTGGCAGGAAGGAGGTGACACTGATGTCTTCACCCTCTGGGAGAGCCTCACCAGTACACATTCTTTCTTTTGTTCAAAGGTTCAAACTCTTTTTCGATCTGTTTCTACTTGTCTGTTTTTGAGACAGGATCTTACATAGCCCAGCCTGGCCTTGAGCTTGCTATGTAGATAAAGATGGCCTTGAATTTCTGATCCTTCTACTTCTGCCTCCCAAATGGTGGGATTACAGCCGTGTGCCACCATGCCTTGTTTTGCCGCATTGGGGATGGAACTCAAGGCTTTGTGTGTTAGACAAGTGCCTACCAACTGAGCTCCTCGCTTTGTCAAGTACTGAAACTTCTTCATGGAGTTAATACCGGAACCGAAGTGGTCACGTGTTCTTGAACTTGGGTCCTCAGACTTGCTTTTGTGTGAACAGTGTGATTAGATAACTGCAATGGATAGGAAGAAACGTCGATAGGGGTTGCAAAAAGGACAAGAAGGTTTGTAGGGTACACAGCTTGGCTTAGAGAATAGAGTAGTTGGGGTGCCAAGGCCTCTTGTATCCTGTCACCTGACACCCTCAAGCTGTCCCCTCTGCTATCCCAAGGCAAGGACCCTCTGGACAAGGAAGATCAGATGGGAAGAACAAGCTCACACTCTGTTGGCCAAGAGTGTCCACATTGCCTTTCATATACTATTAAGTTGTAATTCAAGCCATAGAGCAGTGGTTCTCAACCTTCCTAATGCTGCAACTCTTTAATACAGTTCCTCATGGTGTGCTGACCCCCAACCATAAAATGATTTTGTTGCTACTCCATAACTGTAATTTTTCTACTATTAGGAATTGTAAATATCTGTGTTTTCTGATGGACTTAGGCAACCCCTGTGAAAGGGTTGTTTGATCCCCCAGAGGGGTCTAGACCCACAAGTTGAGAACCACTGCCTTAAACTGTTGTGCTGTGTTGAGTGGGCTAAAAACAAAAAAGCTGTGTGCCTTGCTCAAGGTCATGCAGCTAGCAAAGGCTGAGCTGGGACTGGTTTCTTCTGGTTTGGCCAGCTCCAAAGCCCAAGCTGTTTCTCAGAGCTTTGACTCTGGGAGATTCAGGAAAGGAGGCTGGAGAGCCGTGGGAAGACGCCATCTTTCTCGACCTCATAGTTTTGCCCATAGCAACCTGTTTAGCCAGTGCATCTTCTTTCACCTCTGCACAGCCCACAAGTGTTGAAATCCAACGGCTGACTGCCTTATGGCTTAATGGCCCTGTTACGTCTCACATGAAGTCTGCTGTGTCCCAGTGAGTAAGCTATGATGCAGCAGAGAGGGTGTGGTGTGCCACACTGTCTGGGCTGGGGCCAGCCACACCTGTCCTGTGACTGTTACAGTAAATTGTTCCTGAGTAAACAAGGCTGGCGCTCTTTTGCCTTTCTGAGGAAGACCAGATGGCTGTGGGTGATGGCACAGGTCCAAGTGGTCCTGGCCCTGTGCCAGCAGAGGAGACAGCTAGAGGGTGCCAGGTGATGGGATAAAAAGAGGCTGGTGTGACTTCAGAGGGCCCAAGAATGTCCTGTTTCTGAAGACTCCCTGGCCTTTTGCTAGTGCTTGGAATTCCACAGCTGAAAGCTCTCTTGATTTAATGTGTGTGTGTATGTGTGTGTGTGTGTGTGTGTGCATGTGCACTTGTGTTCCTGTGTGTATAGGAGTATTAGAGATTAAACCTAGGGTCACACATGCTAGTCAAGCACTCCATTACTAAGCTACATGCTCAGTCCTCTTTTTACTTTTTGTTTTGATACAGAGTTCCATAAAGTTGCTCAGGCTGGCCTTGAACTTGTGACCCACCTTCCTCAAGTAGTTAGGAATACAGTGCCTTCAGGCCTGGCTCCTGATTTAAATCTTTGGGACTCAATTGAAAATGAAAGCTGAGGATGTATCTTAGTGATTGAACAAATGCTTAGCATGCTCCAAGCCCTGAGTTCAATGCCTATCACTGTTTGGAGACAGAAAGGGAGGAAGGAGGGAGGGAGGGAGGGAGGGAGGGAGGGAGGGAGGGAGGGAGACAGACAGACAGAGAGAGAGCACTTGGGAATGAACATATGAGATTGATTTTAGAGCCAGATTATGGAAGTGATGGAGAGGGGAGCAGCATGCCGTGTCTTAGTGGTAGAGGAGCGAGACTAGCGAGTCTGAAGTAAAGGCTCTACAAAGAGAAGCCAGGCCATGAAGGAACACTTTTGTGTTCTTCAGGACTGCCGAGGATGAAGGTTCTTGACCCAAGAGTGAATGAATGCTGGGCAGGAGGTTTCCACAGGGTGCTGGGATGCAGGGCTCTGGGGAGTGGCTGATGTCCAGATTACACGCAGGAGTGCAAAACCTTTGGGTCTGTGGTTTGCTGTGATGTCCACAGACTGTCACAGATCTCAGGAAGGGGAGGCTCAGCTTCCCAGAAATGATGCACAGTGATGGCGTAAAAGAGGCCTCTGGTGACAGCAAGGGCAGGGCACTTCCTCCCGTGCGCGCGCTGTCGCAGGCTTTCCCAGTGAGCTGTGCGAAGAGAGGGGTTTGCAGGAAGGCAAACACGCTTGTGAGAAGCAACTCAGGCACCTACACACAGCCCCTTTGTCCGTACCTTGAGCTTCTAGAAGAGCCCTGAGAGTCAGATCCAGATTCAGTCTGCCCTCCTCCAGAGAGTTTCTGGTGCTCAAACTACCTCGATGGTTTGGATTCTCCCGGTTTTCTTCCCCTAGGAAATCTTGGGCAGGGCCAGCTCAGGTCTCGGCCCCCTGTCTATAGCATTATCCTTTGGACCCAGACTTTGACTTCACTCAGGCCTCGTAGGTTCTAACATTCTAACTTCTTCTCTTGCTGCCCCCAAGTTTGACAAGATGTGGACCTCTTTTAACTGTAGTAGGACTCTGGAAGTTTCTAGAATACCATCCTTTCAACATCTGCCATCTTATATGCAGACTCAAATGTCAGCTGTGTCTGCTGTTGATTGAAGATTCGGGGGCTAGCAGCCCCAGGAGTGGGGGACCCCTGGCATGTGTTCTGTGCCCTAAATGACAGTGCCTCCTCCTGTCTCCGCCTTCTTCCATCTTGCCTGTGGTGTACTTTTATAGTGCCAGGCCCTGGCCACCATCCACCTTCTCTCTTGGACTCCTTCCTCTTGTCCAGGAGCCCAGTTGTGAGTTCCTCGTCAGGAGCTTTGGCCAGACCTCACTGGGGAGAAAGTCCTGCCTACTCTGCTGGCCACTTTGGACAGCATGT